AATCAATTGTGAAGTAGTGTATTCGAGGAAAATCATATCAAAATTGTAATAAATCAAGTCTATATATCTATTTTCATATCAGTTTTTTCTCAAAGGGGCATATTTATCATAAGTTACCTGAAATTTCCCCTCTCTATATTCTATATACAGTTACGAGCGTCATCATCTCTGTCACCGTTTGCTTTTTTTTTTTGGAATGGCGCTCTCCTATTGGTTGGCTATGATCACGTGGCTACGATGGCGCCGCCACTACGCGAGACACTTTGTTTTTGATTTTGCCCCCCCCCCCCCACTCGCTTTTTGGTTTTTGTAACTATTGTGTTGGAGCGGGTCGCTCCTTAAATAAATGCATACATTAGTTAATAACTAAATGGAATCCTCTCTTTCTTTTTCCCAGTAAGAGACGCCTTCGGAAGCCAACAGTACATAGACAGATAAAGCATATAGGCTATAGTTATTAACTAATTTATGCATTTATTTAAGGCGTCAATTTATAATTGTGACAAATAGTATTTGAATCAAAACATTCAATCGGGTAAAACACGGGCGTTTCCCGGGTCATTCGGCTAGTGTGATATAAATGCAATAATACAACAGGGGTTTCTGTAGATGAGTTTATTTTCATTTTATTATGCGAATCTCGAGTTTTCGGGCATCTCTTCATTTCTACAGGAGTACAAAAAATAAATAAAACACACCGGCCGGCGTATAGGGCGTTTTATTTGTTTTTATGTGCTCCTGTAGAAGAGCAGAGATGTCCGAAATCTCAAAATTGCGTTAATAAAAATGAAAAGAAACTCATCTTCAGAAACCTGTTATATTATTTAACAGTTTACATTATAATAGTAGAGTATTTTAGGAGATTTTTTGGCGAAATTCATTACATTTTTTAATAGAATGTCCAATCTTTCACAGCTACAGAAGTAATCATTTTTATCCCATCGAAGCAATGAGCGAATTTGTATATAATATTAGATTTTCTTTTCTGTTTCAGTTCAATTTTGTTATTAGTCTTGTTATTAAATTGTATATAAAATGAATTGTATATAGGCTACTAGAATGTATTTAGGCGCAAGTAACCCAAGCTGGGATATCACATCCGATATGTCAAATAAAATATCCAGATATAAATCAGCCTATATGTGATATATCAAAATGCGCAAATATTTTTCAATTGATGTCTTTGAAGGAATTTTCAATGAAAACATATATGAAGAACTTCTAGCAAAAACATTCTTAAAATGGTTTTCAATAATAATAAAAGATCGATATTTAAGAGCGATATTTACGATATTGGATATCGGTCCACGTTTTGTTGAATGGGTTGTTTATTTGAAGCTTATTTTTGTGTGGCAACACACAGAGGTTTCAGTTTATTTACAATTGTTCTTCTCGGATATGAAAAACGGTTTTCAATTTTCCATTTATGATGATGTTATAAAAATATCAGATTTAATCCATTGAAGATATTGAACACTGAAGTCTTTATTTTTGTATTGTCATTATTAAATCCATTTTTTTTCATATAAGTGAAAATTTATTAATGAAAAATTCTAAGATATTAATACACTCTTCAGTTAGTTAGTCTTATAGTTCCTTATAGGGAAAAATAATGGCTGTATTCATATTAGATAGTATTATAATCCAACTTTTATATATGTCCAGTTTTCCTGCTACCATTTCAAGTTTTCTGTTTTACTGTTACAAATGTTCAATTTCATTTTACTTTTTCAAATGTCCAGTTTTCCTGTTACCTTTTCAAATGTCCAGATTTTCTATCACCTTTTCAAATGTTCAGTTTTTCTTTTACTTTTACAAATGTCCAGTTTTCCTGTTACTTTTTCAAATTCCCAGTTTTCATTTTACTTTTTTAAATGTCCAGTTTTCCTGTTGCCTTTAGAAATGTCCAGTTTTCCTGTTACCTTTTCAAATGTTCAGTTTTCCTGTTACCTTTAAATGAATTGCTTACCTGTTACCTTTCTAAATGTCCCGTTTTCCTGTTTCTTTTCAAATATCTAGTTTTTCTGCTACCTTTTTAAATGCCCAGCTTTTCTGTTACTTTTACAAATGTCCTGTTTTCTTTGCACCTTTTCAAATGCCCATTTTATATTTTACTTCTCAAATGTCCAGCTTTCACGTTACCTTTTCAAATGTCTAGTTTTCCTGTTACCTTTTTAAATGGCCAGATTTCCTGTTACCTTTACAAATGTTCAGCTTTTGTTAAAAAGAACACAAAAAGCTCTACTTCTTAGAGTACAATACTTGGGCCCTAAATCTCTCCTCCTCAGCCTCACCCTGGAACTACCTGGTCAACTGGTCAACACTGCAGCACAACCAGCTCTCTCCATGAGTATAACTTGCTTCTATACTGTGGCAATACAGTCCGGGTTGTTGACCCTTGCTCTCTCAGAATAGGACTTACCTCTATTATGACTTACTCAATTATCTCTCTTATTGCTTATCTTCTTAAATATTTGTCTTTTCACCCGAATCTCCATTAGAATTTCTTTATTATAAATCTGATAACTCTCTATCCCATTAATATTTATTCTCATCCAAATCCACATAATGCGATTTAGCCCTATAAATGATTTTTCACTTTAGCCCAAGCGAATATAAATTTTATTCTTGCCAAATATTTGAATTATATAGAGTGAGATAAAATGTGGCGTCTAGAAACAGTTTTAAAAAATCTGTATGTTTAGCGCGATGTCATAAATATAATTTAATATTACGTCGGAAATTCACATACACCCACAAGCCCTAGTTTTATAAATATCTTCTAAGAGAGAGGCATTGCATTACATAACTTCTAGTGTAATGGGGTTGAAGTAATCACATTTCTGCGCTGTCAACATGACATTACCTCGAGGTCGGGAGATAAGGTGCCGCCGCTCCTGAGAACAGTTTCACCAAGGCCGAGCTTAACCACAAGGTTCAGTTCGAAACTCTCAATCATAAACACGCTTCATTATCAAATCAATCTTTGCAGACACCAATTTTACATCACTAATAACAAAAGAGAGTACAAGGTATTTATAGTTCAACGCTCTTTCTTTTGCATAAAAACGTAATTATATTTTCTGAATATAGAGCAATCCATAATATCTATATTTTAAAAATATGGCTTATTTTGGATTTAATGAGAGGGGTTTTATTTATCCAATATTTCAATAGACCAATCGTCTATCTTTTACGAGGTATTTTTGTTTTGTTTTTAAGCACACAACTGGTCGCGTGCTTCTGGTGAAACACGGACGTCTTTCAAGCTTATTGAGCGAAAAAACCATCTATGATATATATTATAACCAAAAGTAAATATAATATAAATGAAAACAGTGTAATATCTATAAATAATTATGATATATCGAATTAATTATAGAAATAAATAACAAATAAATAAACCCATCAACAATAACAATTGAAATAACTTTGGGGGGGGGGGGGGAATAAATACATAACTAATAATAATAGATATCTGAAATTCAAAAAGGTGGAATAAAATAAACATACAAATGACATAGGCATCTATATAGATGTATATACTCAATTTAGAACCTCTTAGATACGTCAATAGTAGAACTACATATGTTGAAATCCTAGTGGAAGTATATATGGCTACGGAGTGAAAGATATATTAAAGGTAGTTTCAAGGTAATGAGAATTATGGACGAAATCATAGTATGATTATCATAGTAAAATTAATGAAAAAATCAAAGAAATGAATTAGTTAAATTCTAAGAACTGCAATTAATTCGGTCAGTAGTCAATTATGTACAAGTGGGTAATGAATCGTCAGCTGAGGAAGTCTGGGGCCATAAACCGGTGATAACGGAACTGGTGACATTCCTGTGCCACAACTGTGTCGTCGTCATTTCTTTCTTTTTTACATAGTCTTTGATTCCATTCATCGCCCTCATAGCTTTCTAGGTTATTTCCTATGTTGTTTTTAGTTGGCTAACCAAGGTTTTCTCTTTTTTTCCTATAGCTTTCCCATGCTGGTGTATGATTCTAGATTAAGAAATGAAAGTGTTTCTATCACAAATAATCAAACTTATACTGTCCTTTCTGCGATGAAAAAAAAAATATTGGGAGGGCTTGGCTCATCAGTGGTAAACCCCCCCCCCCCTCCCCCAGCGGTTTCGCCAATTTAATCAACCAGACCGCTTCTTTAGAGCTCTAATACTGTATTGGATCATTTTGCTTTTATAAGCTACACTGAAGAGTGGAATCTTAGAAATGATATTTAGGCAAGCTATGGACATAATCTTTTAGGACAGTAGAATTATGTCCATAGTTTTCTTAAAATACGATTTCTAATATTTCACTCTTCAGTGTAGCGTATATAAGCAGAATGATCCAATATAATATTAGAGATCTAAATAAGCGGTCTGATCGATAAAATTGGCGAAACAGCTGGGAGGGTTCACCACTGATGAGCCAAGCCCCCTCAATATTTTTTAATCGCAGTAAGGACAGTAGAAGTTTGAATATTTGTGAAAGAAGCACTCACGTCTTAATGTTTGTATTTGTTATATATAGATGGCGCTTTGTATTGATGAGTCTAGATTCTTGCAATATTTTTAATATGTGATATCGATGTAATGTCGTTTCTCCTTCATTAAA